TCACCTCCCCTCCTCGCTTTGCACGCGGCGGCGGAAAGGAGATGGCCCAGTGCACGTGAAGAGGGACCGCAGCAAAAATAAGGGGGGAAAAACCCTATATTTCATGTCCAGTTGATGTCCCTCAGGCTGCTGATGCTCCGCGGTGATGGGGAAAGGACCCAACCACTGTATCTTGGAGAAGGGAGCCTTTATTTTTAATTTCTATTTTATTTTTCTGGTAACTATTACGTGCATGCTGAGGGATTTAGTTTTTTCACCCTGTGTCCAGGTGCACGGTGCAAATCTCAGGAATCAATAAGCCTCTTTGGTTCAGTAACAGATTTTCTCCGCGTGTTCTCGAAGACGGGGACGGAAAAGCAAAATCAAACTGTTTTGCACAATTATGTAAGATCACGGCGTCTGGCCAGCCACGGTGGGTGGTTGGGATGGGGAGATGGTTCTCGATTTATTATTTTCCTTCCTAATATATATTAATTTTATTTTTATTTTTAATGTAAAAACTAAAAACCAGTATCAGCGGAGGCTTCCTCCGTCCCTACCTCGTGCATCCCCATCGCATCCCTCCCTCCTCCTCTTCTTCCTCCTTCATTCCCGAGGTGCCACCAGCACTGCTGTGGGTTCTGGGCTGTGCCAAGCAGTTTGGCAATTGGTGGTGGGGAGTGTCACCCCAGCAGCATTTTTCTCCCCCCTGGGTTTGAGTTTGCAGCGGGGGAGCCGTGTCGGGAGCCGTCGTTTCACTTCCTCGCATTGTGTCTCCTCTTCCTCCAGCGCTGCTGCGGGAGGAGGTGGCCCAGCTGCAGGAGGAGGTCCACCTGCTGCGCCAAATGAAGGAAATGCTGGCGAAGGACTTGGAGGAGACGCACGGCGGCAAGTCGCCGGAGGTCCTCTCGGCCACCGAGCTGAAGGTGCAGCTGGCGCAGAAGGAGCAGGAGCTGGCGCGTGCCAAGGAGGCTCTGCAGGGTAAGGACCGCGCCGCCCTCCCACCGGAGCCGTGCCGAGTTAATTAACGAGGGAAGGAGAAGCTGCCCCTTTCGGTGGGGCCGCGCAGCGCACTTTCACCATCCCCGCGTGGGGTGGGGGTTCTATTTTAGACGGCGCTCCACGGGACCCGTGCGCCGCTGTCCCAGAGCTGGGACGGACCCGAGGAGCAGTGATGGGGATTTGGGGGGTGTTGGCAGCATTGCACAGTGATTCCTCCACAGCAGAGCCAAGAGAGCAGCCGAAATGCAGCTGGAAGCCTTTTTAGGGTGAGATTGGGATGGATTTGAGCCCCTTGGGCTGTTTTAGGGGGAAGCAGTGAGTTTCCCAGCGAGTGCAATGTTCCCAGTCCCACGTGGCGTTACCGGGAGCGCTGCAGAGAGCGGAGGCCAGCTCTCCAGGTGATGTGCAGGATCTCCTCCTTGCTTCATGCCTGGATTTGGGGGGTGTCCCGCAGTGATCAGGGCTGGGCTCTCCCTCCCCACGAGCCCCGGGACCGGGGACGTGCAGAGCGAAACGCGACATTGCAGCTTTCCTCCCCAAAACCAAGCTCGGCGACGAGTGCGGGCAGGGATGGTTTCTCATCCGGAGCCAGGGGATGACCCTGAGCAGGGGAAGTTCTGCCACCGTCAGCGCCGCGGCTCGAAATACCATCCGAAATCCCCACCGTACCGCCCGTGACTTCCACTTGTCGGCTGGCGTTGGCGGATCGCGGGGAGAGGCTGTCAGAAGTTCTCAGGCTCAGAGGCTGAGCGGTTGGTGGCGGGCAGTGTCCCTGCCCCCGCGTCTTCCCCCATCTGGGATGCTGAGATGCACGGAGGGGGTGGGCAGGAAATTGTGCTGAGTCCGTATTTGAGTGGAGGATTTTTGGGAAAAGAAGGGAAAAAACCACCCCAGCCTTCATGCTTTATATTTTCTCGCTCTCTGATGGACAAAAGTATCCCTCTAAATTAATAACAGCCAAAATATGTTGCAAATCTTGGCCCCCCCACCACCACCGGTGCAGCCTCCGGCAGCAGGAAATGCTCTGGGTTTATAAAACCGGAACTGGAGAAGAAAAACCTTAATTAGAGAATGTTTGCTCTGCGCGGACAGGGAGGGGGAAGTGCTGATAAACACAAAGTATGGAAAAGCAGAACTGGTTTAAGGCTGTTTGCAAAAAAAAATAATAAGAAGTAGTTGTCTAAGAAGCCGCAGTGAGGTCGTACGCAGTCTGTGGAGGTTAGTACAGAGAAAAAGCGAGTTTGGCTGGAAAATAATGAGTATTTAAGGAATATAACCTTGGTTTTTAATTGGGCTGTTATTGGCTGCCGTATGAGCTGCTGGGATTAGTTTTCCAGGACTTCTCTGCAGGTGCGATGGCTCAGAAAGGGGAATCTCAGCTTGTGCTTGGAAGGGCACGTAACCAAGAGCCTTTTCCAATCGATGCTCCTTCCCTCCTCTGCGATATTGGAAAGCTTTTGAGTAATTTGGAGAAGCTCAGCGGGCTGGATCCGGCCCTGCGAGCCGGGCTGGAGGTGCTGGGCGGCAGAGCCAGCTCAGCACAGCAGCGGATACGGAGACGGGTAATGTGGAAACGGGATCAGCAGCTGGAAGGGGGGAAAAAGAAAAAATCCTTTTTCCTTTCCTTGAAAAATTCTCTGTAGAGAGATCTAGCCAGAAGGGGAGGAAAAATTGGCAGTAACTGTGCCTGGGGAACGGCGCTGCCAGGAGAAACGTATCCGCAGATAGAGGCGTTCGGGGAAATAACGGCTCTACGTAAAGGAGGTGCTGGATAAGGCCATGCCAGGAGCTCGGGGAAACCTGGCGGCGCCATCCTGTACGTCGGGAGTTTGGGTGGGTCACGTCCCGCACCCAGAGAGCATCTCCCAAGCCCACCTGCCCCCGTAATAGAGCATCTCCCAAGCCCACCTGCCCCCGTCACATGAAGGGCTGAAGGATACCCCGTGCCCAGCAGCATCGGCTGCGGCATCTCCGCGCCAGATTGCGTGTAAT